CCCCCTCCCCTCTGAGGCCAACTATGTCCTCAAGGAGATAAACAAAGGTATCTGCAGAGATCACCCTGACGTCAGAACCTTGGCTAACAAGGCAACTTCTGGCTGACCATGAAGCAGGATGCAACCTAGCTCGTCAGAAAGTGCAACCGCTGTCAGAGGCACTCCAACCTACATCATTAGCCAGCGGTCCCCTTGAAGATGATTACAAGCCCGTGGCCCTTCGCACAATGGGGAATGACTATCCTTGGACCTTTCCTTACCGCAGTCAGGCTAGAGAAGTTCCTCCTAGTTATAGTGGACTATTTCACCAAGTGGGTGGAAGTTGAAGCCCTGGCATGCATTACCATGCAGAATGCCCAGAATTTCTTTTGGCAAGGTATCGTTTGTCGGTTCGGCATTCCACGAGTTCTCATCACCAACAATGGTGCACAGTTCACTGATCGTAAGTTTGAAGCCTTCTGTGCCGACTTGAAGATCGACCATTGGACCACAGTCGTTCACCGACCTCAGTGTAATTGATAGATCGAAGTGACCAACTGAACCCTACTGCACGGCCTGAAGACCAGACTTGACTAGGACAAGGGAAGGTGGATCGAGGAGCTACCGAGCATTCTCTCGGTGTACAAGACCACATCGCGGACAACTACCAGAGAAACGCCATTCAACCTAGCATACGGGGCCAAAGCCATAATCCCCGTAGAGAGAGGCTCGCCAACTCTACAGACCAAGCTCTATGATGAATAGCAAAACAACAAAGACCTCCGCGCAGAGCTCGACCTGGTGGTGGAAGCACGTGGTCGAGCATACCTCAGGATGGCAGCACAGCAGTACCGAATGGGCAAGTACTGTGACTCTAAAGTCTAAAGAAGAGAGTTCAAGGTAGGCGACCTCGTTCTTTGCAAAGTCATAGTACCCACACCAGGAGAAGGAAAGCTCGGATCGAACTGGAAATGACCATACAAAGTGACCAAAGTCCTCGGACTTGGTACCTACAAACTAGAAGACCTCAATGGAAAGCCCATACGGAGGAGTTGGAATACCAGGAACTTGAGGATATAATTATTAATAATCTACATCAATAAAGACCATTTTCTACAATCAGTTGTTCAGCACACACTGCATGACACACACTATTCTCACACTGCACAGCACACGCCACGCAACACGCATCGCCCAGCCGAATTCTAATGGCTGAACCGCTCGTGCACTGCCTCGACCGGCCCATAACAGCCAAAGCCCACTACACATAGTCGTGTATTGATTCAGCTGCACATGCATAGACGACCATGTCGACTAGTTGACTCGGCCGATGACGGCCCGACCCTGAAGCGGGAAGGACGCCCCTACCTCCTAAGGCTAGAGGGCGGCTATCGAACTCCGCACACCCTGTTAATGAACCATCATATTAGAGCTAACTGAGGAACAACTAAGCCCAAAAAGAGCTAACTGACAATACGTGTCAATTTTTTGAACCTTGAAATCCACCCCTACTCCCAGAGTGCACCTCATACCGATTTGTAGGCACATTCCACCATGCATTGGGAACATCTCCCACAAATAATAAGTATAGGAGATGTTCCCAATGCATGGTGGCATGTGCTTATGAGATCGGTGTGAAGTGTGTTAATTTAGATCTCCTACAGTCTTACCCACAAAACACTACCACTATACATTCATAGGGTTCTTGTTAGGGCTAGCCACGAGCTATTTGAGTTCGGTTCGGCTCGATTTCAACCGAACTTCGAGCTGAGCTCGACCCTAATTTATAGGCTCGGTTAATAAGCGAACCAATATACATGTGTATATATATATATATATATATATATATATATATATATATAATAAAATTATAGAAAATAATATATACAATAAAATTATTATAATTCTTAATTTTTTAAATTTCATATAAAAATATTTTATATGTATAATTTTTTATTTTTATAAAACCTTTTTTCTCAAATCAAACTCGAGCTTTTAACTTGAACTGAGCTCAAACTCAATATTCTAACTCGAATTGAGCTAGAACCTCGTACTATTCGATTCGACTCGACTCGAATCCACCCCTAATTATCGTGGACAGGAGGTGGTGTGAATACGATCGGAGAACCCATTGGATTGACCATGTGTTAAATCCCACAATCCGGAAAGAGAGAGAGCGACACTTTCGCAGCACTTCGGTGGGTAGACTGAGGTCCGGGGGTGATCATGGGCTGGTATGTGCCGTGACCAGACCGGGCTTCTGGACCCACAATTTGGAATAAATAAAACGCACAATGAATGGTTCATTGATCAGATTCATTGACCTGAATGGAAGGTTCCTTAGTACCAACCAAAAAAAGAAAGAAAGAAAGACCTGATCAATAGAAATCGGAGGTAATGACTTACTCAACTTCAACAGAAAGAAGCATCCCGTTGGTATTAGGTATGGACTACGTACGGACTGTGGAAGCGTTTATTCATGGTTTTCAAAACCGGACCGAATCGGAAAAACCGGGAACTGGTCATCTGACTGGTTTTATTTTTCCCAAAAACCACTTTTTTTTTTTAAATCGTTGATTTTGGTCAGCAAACTACTGAATCGGCCTGTTAACCATTCAAACTGTTCAAACGGTTTTCACTGTTTTTCAAAAAAAAAAAATTTGTCAGAACGGACCGGCCGTTTGGGTCGAACAGTTGGACCGTTAGAACCGGTAACCGGACCCCTGACCGGTTCGGTTTTAAAAACCATGCGTTTACTTGTTAAAATAGAATTTAAACTACAAACAAAATTACTCGGAGTGTAAGGATATATAGATGCAACAGAACTATGACAAGGCGCTTTTTCTCAACTCTCAAATAAAAAAAAAATTTGAAATACAACAGTTAGAGAGAGAGAGAGAGATTTCTGAAAAAAAAGGGGGTAATTGAAGGAAGAAATCAAGAGCTGCGGAGCAAGACATTTTGCATCATAGCCTTGAACTCATAAAAGTCAACACGTCCATCATGATTTCGATCAACAGAAGAGATCATCTGCTCAACTCTACTGATCTCCCTCCCCTCCGGCAATCCCAACTTCCCCAGCACCACCTGCAACTCCCTCGCCGATATAAACCCATCTCCGTCCTCGTCAAACACCTTAAATGCCTCTGTCAAGTCCGACTCCTCCTGGGACAACGGATCCGCGACACACGCCCTTTGGTCCTCTGGTTGGTCAACCCGGTGATACGTTTCCCCCAAGGGCCCCAACGACTGGTGCAACGCTTCGAAGTCGTCGTATTCCAGCCCTATATTGCCTGGCTTTATGAAGCCATGCACGATGGAGTCTAGCTCAGAGGGGTTAGTCTCCAGGCCGAGAAGGTCGAGAGCTTGGCAGAGCTCATGGACAGTGATTGTGCCGTCGCTGTTCTCGTCGAATATATCGAATATGCGTCGGAGGCGAAGGCTGTTGAGGCTCGGGCACCGAAGACTGAAGGACAACGAGGGGTGACTCAGTTTTGGCCTTTCGGCCTGAATTGTTTTTCGCTCCATGTCCACGACGAACTTCGTTGTGAGGTGGATCGATCGGTTTGTTTTGATTTAGCTAGTGGCAACCTGTAGAAGTAGCACCATACATTAGTTTTACAGACGAGTGGTATACATTAGAATTAGAAGAAGATCAAAGATACTGGAACCTGGGTTTCTTTATTTCTTATATGGCGGTATAGTTTGTCGGGTTGACCTGGGCAAGGAAGACTTGGAATTGGAAGAATATATGAATTCTAGAAGAATGCCTTTTTTGAAAGCAATTATATAAAAGACATCATTGGAAGTTGGAAGTTGGAATTTGGAATTTGGAATTTTCTAACGTTCAAAGTTCAATCTTAATTAACAATTAATTAATGGGGTAATCTCAAAGATAATAAATAGAAAAAAAAAGGGGGGGTAATTTCCATGTTTTCTTTTGGTGAAGCAAACAAATAGCATGAGTAATTAAGTTGTAAATGTAAAAAGTAAAGCTAAAGGTACACCGCTTAGTTTTATAACAATTCAATGTCTAATTAGTTCCATATAAAAATGGACGGAAAATGAGACAGTGCAGTACACATTTTTTCTTTAAATATTTAACTTACCCTTTTTAATATGGTTTTCAAAATCGGAAATCGGTCACAGACCGGTTTCGTTTTACCTGACAACTATTCTTTTCCTCAAAACCGTTGATTTGATCAACAAACTGCTGATCAAAGGTTTGGCCGGTTTTAGCACTGCTGCACTAAGTGAAAAGACTCGGCGAGGGTGTGGATGTCTTAATTTTCAATTTGCAGAAGACCCTCTTCCTCTACCATTACAATGTCTATCTTTGTATGTACTATTGTAAAAGCAAAATGTCTATATTCTCAATCGTAAAACTCTGCTGCTGACCTCAACTAAAAACAAAACCAGAGACTCAGAGTTATACTGCGCTGTTTAGAATTTTCTGAATTCCGACCCCCCACCCCCACTAAATATTCATAATTACTCGTATACCAGCAACTGATTGGTTACCACTTTTCTTTTGTGATACAGGTTGATTGGCTAAAAGTTTTTCCGGTATCATGGTCCAAGTCTTATCAACGGAAAAAGTTTACTCTGATCCCGGTCAATTTGCATTCAATGATTTCGCTCCGGTCAAGGTCATCTCCATCTCTTTCAATAGTATAGAAGGGCATGTTCAATTATTCACGTCTGGGGGTGTCAATTGGATTGGATTTGGTGCAGTCCGATATGAATTTATTATAGATGGATCAGGTCCAAATTCAATCTCATGAATTATTTTGGACCAGTCCAATTCAATATTTGAACCTTCCAATCTGTTCAAATTGGCTTTAATTTAAACTAGTGAATAATCCTGTACTAAGTACGGAGAAGTTAATTTTATATATATATATATATATATATATATATATATATATTAATGTTTTTTATTACTATTTATTATTACTGGTTATAAACTGTCATTTTTTAAGACACTCATATAGTCTACGAGTCCACATAAATTGACCCTTATATGTCAAACCCGTAAAATTATATGGGTCATTANTATATATATATATATATATATATATATATATATATATTAATGAGTTTTATTACTATTTATTATTACTGTTTATAAACTGTCATTTTTTAAGACACTCATATAGTCTACGAGTCCACATAAATTGACCCTTATATGTCAAACCCGTAAAATTATATGGGTCATTAAATTCAACTTGAACCATTTATTACTTTAATTTAACCATTCTTCTTATTACTAATAATTTATTTTTTTTTGCTATATAGTAATAATATTAACTAAATTTGCAATTATTTAAATATTTACTTAAAATATTTTTTTCCAACCGAGTATAATTATTATATAATAGATTTGTTAATTCATATTTTGCACTTAAGAACAAACATTAATGATTTGGCTTAACAATTTTAATGATTGTTAATAAATATTGATTCTTATTTGAGGTTTAATTACTATATTTGGTAATTATTATGGGGCATGCTTTGAATAAACATTAATGATAACTAATTATTGTTATTTCATTTTTTATTATTTACTTAATTAAGTACTTAATTCAGTAATTTTCAGCAAGTAATTATTTGATTTAATTTGAATTATTTCATTTTTAATTATTTATAATAAACATTTAGGGTAGTCTAGCTCTTTATTTGATTTAAGAGAGTTACTGTGTTTTATCTAGACAATGACCGCATACTAAGTAAGGGGCAACTATAGTATTATTTAATTTGAAATTTACTATTTAACAATAAAAAATCAATGTCATGTTGAGCAACCCACCCCCAAAAAAGTATCAATAACCTTGAAATCATTAATCTATTTATAAAATAATAAAATTATATGGATGTTTACAAAAATATCACCAATACTGCTTAACATTTAGGGACATATGAATGGATACAAAGCATTTAAATGATATCCATTCAAAGAGGCAAAGAAGGAAGAAAATCATTTAAAGGGCTGCTAAGAAAAACAATCCGTGCCAAACAACATTTGCAGATGCATCAATCCTCTAAAGTAAGAGATGAAAAATATATCATGTATGGTTACAATCAACTAATAATTTAATCAAGACTCCGAAGCCCATCCAACAAAGGAAACATGAAAAGAAAGGAGAATAATGGGACCATCCTAAGTATGGAAGTCACCTTCAAGTTAGGTGGCAACACTTCTTTTGGTCGATTATGGTTACGGATTTTAAGTCTAAGCTCCCCACAGTGCACGTAGATTAGATATAATTTATCTTTAGGAAAAAGGTAGGGAAACATGTACATAACATAATGGTATGTTCAAATTATGGGAATTGGGAGATAGAAATAGGAAATGTAGGTTGAAATTATAATTTTGGGCATGTAAATGTTTCAAATTCAAGTCAATTAGAATACTCATAGATTTTTAGCTCATTCATTTAGTAGCAATTTGAATAATTTTTTATTCCATGTCTTTATTGAATAATATAGATTAATAATATATTAATAACTATAAAATCAGTAATAATAATAAGTATATTATTATTACTATTATTTACTAATAGCATATTCTTATTATGTGTGTATTGATTTTGAAATCAGTAACATTAAATTATTATTATTATTATTATTATTATTATTATTATTATTATGAAATAATTAATTTGTTATAATTACAATTTTTTGTTAATTCCTGAAATAATTGTTTTTATGTTTCTTTTAGTTTAACAATAATGGATAATTGAAAGTTTATAATTTAACTTTAACCAAATGAAATATTTATTAGAGAATAATAACAGTATTGATTATAATTAATTATAATAATAATAATGTAAATGAGTAACACTAATTATATATTTATAAAATAATTAATATCAATTAATATAAATATAAAATGGTTTTATCCTGATTAATAATTAACAATGTTATAATACTTATTAATTATCATTAATTAATTAACATTCCGAAGTAATAATTATTATTGTTATAATTAAGGAAATAATTATTAGTAAGTACTTATTTAAATATTTAAATTTTATCAGAAATCATTCTTATTAGTAATAATTAATTGTAATTATTTATAATAATAATATAAATAAATAATTATATTAATTAATATAAGTATTAATTATAATTACTGATAATAATAATATAATTAACTATTTTATATAAATGTATGAATTATAATGTCTAATAATAATTATAATATAAATAATTAACATTAAATATTTACTTTCAAAATAATTGATATGAGTTAATATAAATATAAAATGATTATTTTAGAATTATTAATTACCATTATGAAAATCGTTATTAATTATCATTCCGAATTAATAATGAGAAATATTATCAGTAATTATTTAATACCAGTAATTAAGTATTAGCAGTATTATTATAAGAAATTATGATCAGTGAGTTATTATTATTAGTAATTAATAGCTGAAATTAATTAATTAGRAGTCATTAATTATTATTAGTACTCCTCTCTTTCAAAAAGTTGATTCATCATCATCGTCATCATCAATGACAACAACTTGATAAATACATAATTTGATAAAAATAGGTAAATATCATTAATTTATTTTTCTATCTTTTGAAAAACTGAATAAGAGAAAGATAAATTGGTTAGCATTACAAATGAAAAATTATTGAACATAAAAAACCAATTAATCAAAAATAAGGTCGTTAATCAAAGAGTATTGAAAATTATTTAGTAAATAATAATTTTAAGAAATTAAAATTATTAATTAAATATATATCCGAATTAAAATGGGTAATTTCAACAAATAATTTTAAGTAATTAATTTTGCTTTTAACATTTTTTTAATAATTATCAGTATTATTAATAGATTAATAATTATGAATTCAGTAATAATAATATGTATATCATTATTATTAAATAATAATATATTCTTATTATGTGTGTATTGATTTTGAAATCAGTAATATTAAAGTATTACTATTATTACTGCTACTATTATTATTTTATTTTTATTTTTTATTTTTATTTTTATTTTTATTTTATTAAGTAATTAATTTGTTATAAGTACGATTTTTAGTTAATTCATAAAATAATATTTTCTTTTATAACTCTTTAATTTTAACAATATTGAATAATAGAAAGTTTTATAATTTAACTTTCACTAAATGAAGTATTTATTGAATAATAATAATAGAATTAATTATAATTACTTGTAATAATAATAATAATGCAAATAAGAAACACTAATTATATATTTATAAAATAATTAATATAAATTAAGATTAAATATAAAATGATTATATCCCAATTAATAATTAACATTATTAAAATACTTATTAATTATCATTAATTAATTAACATTCTGAAGTAATATTTATCATCATTAGTATTAGTAATAATTAATTATAATTATTGATAATAATAATAATAATATAATTATATTAACTAATATAATATTATTAATTATAATTACTTATAATAATATAATTAATTATTTCGTATAAATGTATGAATTATAATTTCTGTTAATAATTATAATATAAATAATTAGCATTAAATATTTATTTTCAAAATAATTAATATGAGTTAATGTAAAAATAAAATGATTATTTCCAAATTATTAATTTCCATTATGAAAATATTTATTAATTATCATTTATTAATCATCATTTCGAATTAATAATGAGCAATACTATGAGTAATAAACTATTAGTAATTAAGTATTATCTGTAATTATTATAAGAAATAATTTTCAGTAGTTAATTATTATTAGTAATTAATAGATGGAATTAATTAATTATAAATAATTAACAATAATTAATTAGTAATTAACACTAATTATTATTTGTAATTAATAGTTGTAATTAATTAATTAGAAGTAGTTAATAGTAATTATTATTAATAATCAATAGCTAGAATTAATTAATTAGTTTAGTAGTTAACATTAAATAATAACACAATTTCCCTTTCTTTAGGAAAGGTTTGAAAGTGGAAGTGTCCCATTTCTCACAACTCTACATGGTGGTAGGCTCCACTCTTCATGTTAGCGGGCTCTTTTCTTGAACTAACACTAAGCAGAATTTGACACGTGTCTATTTTGTTTAAGTTTTTGGAATGACACGTGTCTGAATGTAAATGAACCACATGTCTGACAGTAGGGGGTTTTGGCCTGAAATCATTACTTTAATATATATATATATATATATATTAGATTAGTTTCAACCCAAGCTTGTTCCATTGACCCCTGTGTTCTTATCTTGTATCAATGGACCAGATATAGTCCAATTCAATATGTATCAGCGGACGGTCCAATCCAACCAAATTCATTTTGATTTGGACAGGGTCCACCTCAAATATGAGGCCCATCCTAATACTCCGGCTATATGTTCAATTATGTTAGCCTTTTATAAAAACGAAACCCTGAAATCGGACCCAGCCTGGCCCGTGATCACCCAAGGCCCAAGGTGGATGTAAAGTGCGAGGCATTTTTCACATTTGATTATTATTTGAAGTGAAACATGCAAATAAATGGAAATTAGATAATAGATAGAATAGAATAATAAGTTTGCTAGATAAGCATTCAAGGAATTGGCTGTCATGTTCTAACAGCTGTTTACACTTGCGGAAAGAAAAAGATTAAGTAAAAGCAAGGATTCCAGAAAAACGGAAAACAGCACTATTCATTAAAGAAGAGAGGCAGAAGTAACATAAAGAAGGAAAAAGAGAGAGATAGGGACGAAAGATTCCACAATCACCTGAAAGACAAAAAGAATTGAAAATTGGTTGATTGGTAGACACTAGAGAGAGAAATAGTAATTAAGAAAGGGGCAAGGAGAAAGAAAATACATTTACCATTCTTCCTCTCCTACAAATTTGTTTATAATATATGTGATGATGTATCATGCCATGCTCATGTCCATGTGGAAACTAGCATACAATTGTATATTATGTTTGTTTTTTATCTTTTGGAAGGAAAAGGCCAAGGCACAAGCTCTTGCCTCTTGCACCAGCATGCTGCATGCATATGTACATGCAAATTAGGGGTCCTCACGGTTCGGTTAAATGAACCGTGGGCCCCTTTTTGTAATCGAATTGGTATTACCGGTTTTTTGAAAATTGGTAATTGAAATTGAATCGGTTAATCGGTTGACCTATTTGATTAATCGTTGGTTTTCTATTTTATAAACATTATATTTTAAATATAAATAATATATCACATATTATAAATATATATAATACATATTTATTAATTTATAATATATAAAATATTAAATATATATATAATTTATAGAAATATATGTATACCGGTCGATTCGATTAATCATCAGTTTTCTATATTTATTAACCGAAACTGAACCAATACCTTCGATATTTTTAAAATACTGAACCAAAAATCAAATTGATCAATTCGATTAACCAATTTTTCGATTCGATTTTTTTGGTCAGTTGGGTTTTTCAGTTTTTTAACTTTTTTTACTCACCCCTTATCGCAAATTCAGCTACCAGCATCCACATAGGTAATAGAACAGTAGTTGTGTTAATTAATTCCTTGCATCCACACCCGAAAAGTCTTAATCCATCAAGGCAAAGCACGCGCCTTATCAAATCATCACTCATCTTCACATAAAATAAAATGAATGAATAAAGAAAAAAAGGTTGAGACCAATGCTTGTGAGTAGTGACCATTATCCGACCCACCACCACTACGTCTGGTATAAGCAAGGCATCTGAATTTAAATTTGCATTTGCATCGGTACCATCAATGGTGGGCATGCCTTACAAACCTGTCAGTTCTCCATTGGTTGTACATATACAAGCAACCTTGGGTCCTTATAGCTAGCTAGCTGCCAAACCGAGTCCAATCTTATTATTAGCTTCCACCCCTCAATATTATGACTACAATACAAATTAAAGGCTGCACCAGCACAAAGATAAATAAGCTATCATATATATGAAACACTCAGAGAGACGGAGAAGGAGAGAGAGATCTAGAGAGGTTTTCTGTTCTTTGGGTGGAGTGGGTGGGTGTTGAGCTAGGCCGGAGAAAAGAGAAAAACATGGAGGTGGTGTTTCTAACCGTGAATCATCTGTTTTGGTCCATGACGACAGTGGTGGTGGTGGTGGTGGTTGTTAGCTTGGTGATGTATGTGTATAGCATATTATGGTTAAAGCCTGAGAAGCTTCGGGAGAAACTAAGGATACAAGGCATAACAGGGCCTCCACCTTGTTTTCTGCGTGGGAATGTTCCTGAGATGAAGAGGATCCAAGCTGGTGTAGCGGCAGCCTCTCCCTCTGCTGCAAATTCTCCGCACGACTACGCCTCCATTCTCTTCCCATATTTAGAGCAGTGGCGAAAGCAATATGGTACATCTCTCTCTCTCTCTCTTTATATCTATATATCTATATATATATATATATAGTTTCTTAATTTATTGATTCATTGGCTTATTATTTATTTGAATTTGATGATATATTGATCATGTTGCACGCTATAAATTATAAAGTATAAACAAAACAAGCAAATGGTTGGCATTTCATTACTGTTCAAGTAGCTAGTAGAGAGTTGAAAAGATTCTGAATTTAAAAATGCTTCATTTAACTCAGCAAATGGAGAGCTATGATGAAGAATGGTGGGCACTGAGGTGATTATTTAATTTGTTTTTTGAGCTTGGACTCAAATCGATCCATTAAATTGGATCTCAAGAAATCGTATCTCCATTCATATTAGGATCAAATCCGGATCGGATCCAACCCAATCCAATATCATTAAGACCTGAGGCCGATGATATCATATCTTCATTAAAAGGCTTATTTGTTCAGCAAGTTTCATGAATAACTTTGTAGGTTTATCTTCTGAGCCATTTCTAATCAATAAAACATACTGTGCAAAATAGGATGGGACATAGGTTAGGATTCAATGAATCAATCCAAAATGGAAATGCCAGGGAAGATAGAGTGACGACTGACGAATAAGATAGGACGTATATACGGTATTGGTAATTTGGTATGGATGTCAGACCCGTTTGGTCGAAACTCAAAAAGGACAGAGGTTTCAATTGAGCAATAGTGGGCCCGGTTCATTGTCCATTTCTTAATTTTATTGGTGGGGATGGGTAAGTGAACAGATAGATGTATGTAGGTTTCCAAATCTAAATCTAAATCAGAACTTGGATTCTAACCGGTCCAATTCACTTGCTACTAAGGACCAATCTTGTCGTTATCTCAACTATTCATAATTCATTATCAATGCATCATCCAACCAAGTTCAGTTCACCATGGCTGTAGTCACGTGGCTATTTTTTATTTGCCCTCCAGCTAAGATGGGCCACTAGTACACCATGGTTGCAACCAAGCGAAAGCGAAATCTCCTGACCGGCTGACCGCCCACGAGGAGATGGTCCTCTGTCCTACAGCCCCACATTTAACAATCTTCCTTTCCTTTCACAAGGACAAGAGAATCTTAAGCTTCACATGTTATTGCGGGTTATTAGTTATGTGGCCCCGTTTTTGTCTTTTACACCCATCAATGTTATTCACAGGTGGTTTTAATTATTATTATTATTATTATTATTGATTTTCATTACTTGGGAATTGGGATAATTTTTTTATTAATATTTTTAGTAATTTTCAAGGTATGCATGCTTATATTTATATTAATTTTATTTTAATAATATTTTTACTAAAATAAGTCCTCCCAACATTGTTTCATTTATAGTGTTTAGTGGTGAGCAAATGGGTAGGCTTTACCCAAAATCGAATGAAATCAACCTTGAATCGGCCTTGAATCAACCTTATCCAATATGTTATAAAGTAGGGTCTGGTTCCAAATTCTTGGAACTAACCCCTACTTAGGTCAATTCTAGGGTCTAGGGGTTTATGTTATCGGAACTGACCTAATGAACTAGTCTTCGTTGGCCTTGATGGAACTAGCTTTGGAACCAAACTTGTCTTTAAATAAATCCCAAAATATTTTTAAGATGTGAAAATTTGAACCCAAGCACTTATGGTTACAAATGCCATATTCTCACTTTACCATTGAGTTAGTTAAGTGATTTGATTATTTGTTTTTATTTTAATATTTGAATATGTATAATAAATAATATAGAAGGTAATATTTACAAAATTTAAATTATAATGACACATTTTGAATCATATATTAATATATTTTGATAATCTACGTATTAAATTACTTGATTTAATCAATAAAGATAATACAGTTTTAAACTATACATTCAAGTTGTGCGGTGGGGGGAATTGTGCTGTGGGTGGGGTGGGGTAGGGGTGGGGAGATGTGAAGTCGAACAGGTCAAGTTGCGGAAGGAAGATTAATAAAAGTCTATATACTATTTACAGTATAAAATGAATGGACTTGTCAATATTGACATGGGAATCTGTAGTGGTTATGCATTAATAATAGCTCATGGACAAGTATGATGATAGTGATTAGACCTGTTCATGGGCCGGGCCGGGCCGGGTTCAGGTCGGGCTTTGATTCTTTATTGACAAAAAATGTTAGGCTCGAGCCCGAGTCCGGCCCGACCAACAGGCCTACAATTTGGGCCCGAGCCCGGCCTTGATAAAAAGCCCGAAGCCCGACCTAATAAAAGAAATTCAAAATTTTCTCTATTCAAATAGACATTATCTATTATAATTCAGATGTTTTTTTCCCCTATTTAAATGAATAATGGGCCTACAAGTGAATCAACAACCTTCTCAAATCAAAAAATTTATTCAAATGGACATCACATAGGGTATTTACTTAGGTTTAACTATAGGTCGGGCCGGGTTTACTTAGATTTAACTATAGGTCAGGCCGGGCTATTTTGGCAAAGCCCGAATTCGGCTCGAATTTTATGCAGGCTGGGCTTTTTGGCCTGAGGTTAAACCCGTGGGCTGAAAAGCCTATTCAAACCCGTCCAGGAATCGGGCCGGCCCATCGGGCCACCCGGCCCATGAACAGGTCTAATAGTGATACAAGCAATACATCAGTGCGAGCTCTCTATGAAGCAAAAGTGTTCATTAATTGCTTCAGTTGGCCCATTCCTCTTTTTTATTCAATGTAAAAATGGTTTTTTTCGCAGGTCAAATATACATGTATTCAACTGGGACACGTCAACACCTATTGGTGAACCATCCCGATCTAGTAAAAGAAATGAGCTTGTCGGTATCCTGGGATTTGGGCAAGCCTTTATACATGGGCAAGACACTTGGGCCTATGCTAGGCAATGGCATTCTAAGGTCCAACGGCAACATTTGGGCCCACCAAAGGAGAATTATTGCACCAGAATTCTTCATGGACAAAGTCAAGGTAAATCAAGTTTTAATTTCTCAATACAATTTAAAATATTACAACCGTTTAGTTGGAAGTTGGAACTTGGAAACTTTTGGGTGATGACTGTGTCGAGTGTCGACTGAGGGTTACTGAGCAACATCGTTGGTCTCACTTCTCAAGTCCGGTCGACGGTCGACGGGATAACGACGAGATGAAAACAATTAATTATTGACTTCACAAGTGACCAAGTGCTTTAATTAATTTTGTAGGGAATGATGGATGTAATGGTGGATTCTGCTTTATCAATGCTGAAAAAATGGGAGGATCGAGTGGAAATGGAGGGAGGGATGGCAGATGTAAAGGTTGACCAAGATTTGAGAAACTTCTCGGCAGATGTGATCTCAAGAACTTGTTTCGGGAGCTCCTATTTGAAAGGCAAAGAGATTTTCTCTAAGCTCAGGGCTCTACAAGTCACCCTGTCTAAGCAAGGTTTCCTTTTCTGGGGCCCTGCCTATAGGTATGTATGTATTCACCAGCTTCACCCATTCATTCAATGATGTTGCCAGAGCCAAACAAACATGATGAGCAGTCTTTGTCTACCTTCAATTCTTGGGGAGAAACAAAATTTACATCATTCAAAAGCCTAACTAAAGACAAAATTCTACCTATCCAGTTAAAAAAAACAGGAAATAATTGAGCTTTTCTCCCTTGAGGGCATCAATCATATTTTCAGAATCAAACAAGATCAGTAAAGATGTCCATCCTTGAGGACAATTATTAATTAGGACTGAAATGCACGCTTCCCATTATTTTCATGCATACTAAAAGCTAGCAGGAGTACTAGTAATGTCTATAAAAAATCGTACTAGTAATGTCATGTACTAGAAATATGGGCCTAGACTGGTCTGTGCTGTAGTACGGGGTTAGCCATAGGGGTGTCAGAAAAACTAAGAAATCAAATGCGGTTAACTAAGCCGATTGATTTGGGATTTTTGAAAAACTTAAGGATAGGTTCGGTTTTTGGTTAATCCAACCAATTTCTCTATATATTTTTAATATATGTCATATTTTCTATATATGTTATATATAAATATATACTTATATTACATTTATAATGATCTATTTTTAAATATATTATAAATATAAAAAATCAAATAATCGAACCGGTCAAAAACCAAAACCGATTAACCAGTGGTACTAGTTTGGTTTCTGTTTAGAGAATTGGAAAAACCGGTACCACTGGTTTGGTTTATAAAAAAGTGTCATGGTTCGGTTAACCGAACCGTGGACATCCCTAGTTAGCCAGGTTCTATCTCAATTATTAACTATTTATAATTTAGGCGGAGTGTAGGAGTTATTATTTATTTTTTTGAAAAAATACAAGTGTTTATTGAACAAAATGTTAAAAATAAGTGAATGAAAAAGTATTTATTTCAAATAAGGGTAGTATAAGTATTTTTAAAATGATGTGGTGGGCCAAAAAATGAAATAAGTACTTCAAAATAAGCCCAAAAAATGAAATTAGTACTTATTTTGAAATAATTACTTCAAAATTTGGGGTTTATTTTTCAAACACAAATAAGTACCCATTGGATCCTAAGGCTGCATTTGGAAGCGATATAAATCAATGACCGATGTAAATTTTACATTGGTATGATTTTGTAGGAATTTGTAAAGAGCGTATAATTATGATCGATGTAAAACTTCACTACAATTCAATTTTACACACATTTGGATGGAGTGGAATTTTACATTGATAATTGATATAAAACCTTATCAAGCATAAAGTTTTACATGGATAATCAATGTAAAAACTACATCCACTTTATTGATGTAAAACTTTACAGTCTTCCACCCATTGTGTTTTTAAAAAAGCAACAATCAGTCGATTGTTCAATGTAAAACGTTACCAGTATATTTTTACACCAACAATCAGTCTTTTGAGCACTGGCTTAATTTGAAGTCTCTGTATGTATGTATATATATGATGAATGTTACGTGCTGTGCAGAAATCTTCCAACAAAGAGAAACAGAGAGATAAGGAGATTGGAAAGACAGATCGAATCATTGATACTGAAGGTAATAAAGGAACGAAAGGAAGAAGCATCCTTATTGGGTTCATCAGCAAAGAAAGATCTATTAGAAATGATTCTGGAAGGTGCCATTAATGGCGATGGTCATCATGATACTACTTCAATTCCATGTAATCGTTTCATAGTAGATAACTGCAAGAACATCTACTTTGCTGGTCATGAGAGCACTGCAGTTGCCGCTGCATGGTGCCTGATGTTGTTGGCATTATATCCTCAGTGGCAAGACCGCGTGCGTGCAGAAGTTGTACAAATTTGCGGGGATCATCGTCCCCTCGATGCTGATGCACTGCAAAAGATGAAGACGGTACGTAATCAATCGGTGCTGTGCATTACATAACTCCATTCCATATCGTCGTCGTCTCTGGTTGTTACAATTAAATTAATTCTTCTTCTTGTTCTTCTTCTTTATTGTGAAATATATAATTAATGATGCAGATGAAGATGGTGATTCAGGAGACATTACGTCTCTACTCTCCAGCGCCATTCCTAGCGAGGGAGGTATTCCAAGACACGAAGATAGGGCATATCGTCGTCCCCAAAGGCGTACACTTGTGGACTCTAATCCCAACATTGCACAGGGACCCAGATATCTGGGGAGAGGATGCCCATGAGTTTAAGCCAGACAGGTTCAGCAACGGCATCTCCGAGGCTTGCAAGCTTCCGCAAGCGTATGTACCATTTGGAGTTGGTGCAAGAATGTGTTTGGGCCGCAACTTTGCCATGGTTGAGTTGATGGTAGTCCTCTCTCTCATCATCTCCAACTTTTCTTTCTCCCTCTCTCCTACATATCGCCATTCCCCTTCTTATAGAATGATTTTAGAGCCCGAATATGGTGTGCACCTTCTCATACGCAAAATATGAGACTCCTCACTCGCTACTACTCACTAGATATGCATTTTACTTTGCCTCCCTCCCTCCATCACTCAGTTGTTGGACTTGGGCTTTTGGATACACACACAGGACACAGCTGGTCAGGCCCAGCCTATCATTTTCACTTTTCAGTAAGTTATTAAATTGTTTTTCCTAGTAAATACTTGTTCTTTTATTTCCCGGGTAAATGCATTTATCCATATTCTTTTATTTCTCAGGTAAATACATTTTTGCTATAAAATTCATTATTAAAATGGTCATTTTTGTCCCGTTCAAGTGTTGATAACTTTCCCCCTATGTGCAAAAGTTATTTATCAATCTAGGAGATGAGTATCACTTTCCTAGGTAAGTACTTCCCAGGAAAATAAACTTTCCTTGACCCCCACATAAAACTAAAAAAAAGAACATTAAATTCTTGGTCAGTGGAAACCAAAATCCCATTAACCAACTTTTCCACCTCTCAAAATCCAAAAAAAGAATTCCCCCTTAAGGTTCCGTTTGCGTTCCAGTAAGTTATTTACCCGAATAAATGCAATTACTTGAGTAAGTTTTTTCTAGGAAATACTTCCCCGGGTAAGTGCATTTACCCATGTTCTTTTATTTTCGAAATAAATAAGATAATAACTATTTTAGTCATAAAAATCCATTATTAATAAGGGCATTTTTGTCCAATTCAAATATTAACAACTTTCTTCCTATGTGGAAAAGTTATTTAACCACCTACAAGATACGTATCACTTACATGTATAAATGATACCCAAGAAAATAAACTTTCCCAGATCCCCACATTAATCTAAAAAATGAACATAGGATTCTTGGTTCATTTCCCCCTCTCAAAATCTAAAAAAAGAATGCCCCCTAACAGCTACCTAATTATACTAGAACTGATTATCCATCCTTAAAGTGAATCCGACAAGTTAAAACAAAAAAAGTATCTGGACCACCATATTTTTACTAAACAAGATCAGTACATGACAAAAGATAGACATATATCATGAACACTAGAAATACAGGGGAAAAAACAAAGAAAGAAAACGAGAAAATTTATACAAGCAAAAGCCACTGCTTTATGTTATTTATGTCCGCCAATGTGTATGTGAATTAATGCATCGATCATCACTGTAGTCTTGTGATTAGAAGATCGATTCCATGCTCAGGTTCAATAACCAACCTAAGCGCAGGGGAGTGACGATAGTTGGGAGATAGGGAGAAAGAGAAATTGGTTAAAATGAGAGACAGAAGAATCTTCAATTCTTGCATGGCCAAGTTCTGTCCCAGACAAATGCGAGGTCCTACCCCAAAAGGCATGTAGAGGTATGGGAGCTTGCAGGCACCAGCGATACCATTGGCAAACCTATCCGGATTAAACTTGTAAGAATCAGGTCCCCAATATTCTGGGTCAAGGTGTAACCATGTCACCGAGGTCCACACGTTAACGCTTTCTGGAACATGAATGTCTCCAAATTTCATGTCTTTCAGAGCTTCTCTTGAGATTATTGCAACCGGAGGGTAAAGACGCAACGACTCGTGAATCACCATCGTCAACTGCATTTGCCATGCCATAACAATAACTGAGCAATAACAACTACTAATCGATCGATGATAATATATTTATACAGAATGAAGGAAGAGCTAAGGTATACAAAAATAAGGAGAAGTACCAATTTCATCCTGCGAAGCATATCTGCATCTGGAAGTAGTTTTCCTGATCCACAAACTTGCAATACCTCTTGGCGAACACGAGCTTGCCACTCAGGATGCGAAGCCAGAAGCATCAAGGTCCACAGAGAAGAAACAGCAGTGGTCTCATATCCTGCCAGGTAGATGTTCTTGCAATTGTCAACTATGAATCGATCGGTTGCCTCCGGACTCAGGTCACCCTCTTTCGCTCCTTCCAGAATCGTTTGCAACAGGTCTTTCTCCGGTTGTTTACTTGCTTCGCGTTCTTTCACTACTTTCAGTATCAGCCGGCGTATCTCTTTCTCTAATCGCCATATTTCTCTGTTGCTCTTTGTGGGAACATATCTGTCCGCCCACCACATTATCAACATATGTGTTTGATCGAGTGTGTGTGAGAGAGAGAGAGAGGGAGGGAGAGATTGATACATACCTCATTCCAGGGATCCCAGTGGTCAAACTTTTTTTGGACATGGCGTCTTGAAGAAGCCTCAGCTTTAAGAATATGTCCCTGGCTTTGGAGTAACTGCTACCGAAACATGCTCTTGAAATTACATCTCCAGAAAAACTTCTCAAATCCTCATCAATCTTGATCTCTCCAACTCCCCCACCGTTTTCGATCTTACTCTTCCATAGATTCATGAGCGAAATTGTAGACTCTGTTATCAAGTCTATCATGCCCTACAATGGTTTATTTATTCATTTGAGCTATCACCATTAATTAATATTAACGCTAGTAGAATCTCATCTTATAAATCAAAGTACGTATTAATTAAATAAACTATGGTTTTTAAAACCGACCAGGAGACCGAACTGGTCAGGGGTCCAGTTACCGGGTTAAACGGTCCGAATGTTTGAATCAAACGGTCAGTCCATTCTAATAAAAAAAATAAAAAACAGTCAAAATCATTAAACGGTTCAACCATCCAAATTAATGATTTGCTGATCAAATCAACAGTAGTTTTTTACAAAAAAAAAATCCGATTTTGACCTTAAAATAAACAGTAACAGGAATATATATATATATATATATATGTATATACCTTAACCTTGTCCATATACAATTGAGGAGCAATGATTTTTCTTTGGTGGGCCCAAGCGATCCCATTTGAGGTGAGAATGCCCTGGCCAAGCAAAGGCCCACGGTCCTTGTGTTGATACGAGGGCTTCCCAAAGTTTAGGGACGTGCACACGCTTATTTCCTTCACTATATCGGGCTGGGTCACGTGTAACAGTTGTGCGTTGCCCACAGCAAACATGAATATGTGACCTGTGAATTTATACACTAAAGTTAAAACAATTTATAGCTGAATTAATCCAATTCCAACGTTACCAATATTTTACCAGGAAAAAAACAAAAAACCTTCACCTTCTAGTATTTCCTATAATGAGAAAACGCCATATTTTAACATTACTTCAAATTATAATTTTTCAATTTTCAAGAGCACTATTTTTTATGAAAAAATGATTTTAAACAAACAGACATTTCCTAAAATGCCTTTTTTCCGATATAACACTGATATATCATCATTTTCTGGAGTAACAGCATCTATTCCAAACAGACGCCCAGTTATCAAGAGAGTGATCACGCCAGTCAGTGTTAGTTCTGTAATCTTGGATGTAAGCGATAACGACATCTCCTCCTACAGTCGAGTCCTCCCTCCTGTAGGAGAGATGACTGAGTGAAAGCTGAAACTGGCCGGTAGCTGCCACTTCCGGCCGGCCTCTCCAGTTTCCGACCAAATTAAAGCAGAGATGAGTAATTAAGAAATTAAAGAGAACCATGGTTGTGATGTGATCGATCAGTTAAAAAAACATTTGCGCGGTCGATTGTTGCAATTAATTAACCGGACCACGCCTAGCCATCTCTTAAAATTAAAGAGGGTGATAGTATGTTACTCATACCATATTGGCTTCGCCACTGCTCGAAAAATGGGAATAGCCTGGATGACAGATTGTGCGTCATATTCGATGCATCTTCTTCCCTCAAAGACTTGGCCACCGCCGACTGAGCCCTCTTCATGTCCAGAATATTCCCCAATACGAGTGTCCGAGGAGGACCTCTGATACCTTGCTTTCCAAGCTCTGAGCGGAGCCTCTCAGGCTTCACCCACAGAACGTTATACAGATGAATACACAAGTTAATAAACCCAACTACAACTATGGCAAATGACATCTTCAGAACAATCGAGAGTTCCACCATAGCTGATGGCTGGGGCCTGGGTGTGGTGACGGTGGGAGCTTCTTTCTCTCTCTCTCTCTCTCTCGATTATTGGGTTTGTTTTCACTTGTATATCTCTTCACGCCTCTGATCAGCTTATTTATACCAGAGTGGTAAAATTTTGTGATAAGGAAATGAGTACATAAATAAATGCATGCTTTACAAGATGACTAATTCAGGTTCTTATCTTTTAATAAATTTATAATCATAATAATTAGGGTAAAATATAAAAACTTTCCCTGATGTTTATGATAATCATAAAAACTCTCCTATAATTTTATTTTAGCAAAAACCTCCTCTAAATTTTAAAGATCTTGACAGAAACCTCCCTTCAATAAAATTATGAAATTGCCCCTAATTAATTATTAGGGAGAATAAAATATTTCAAAATGTTGGAATTACCCCTGTTTCCCCTTCCTCTCACAATAGAAGGGAACGACGTGAAATCCTTCCTCCGATCTCTCCTCATTGATTTTTATCATTGATTTCTTCTTCTTCTTCTCTCTCTTCCATCCCCACTGTCCCAACTCTCTTCCAAGTACACCGATTGCTCCGACTCAATCAACTTGATGGAAGAGAGTGGAAGTAGGGAAACAATGTGGGGAAATTGGGAGAAGAATTTCACGTCGTTCCCTTCTATTGTAAGAGGAAGGGAAAGCAGGGACAGTTTTAACATTTTGAAATATTTTATTGACTCCTCGACAATTAATTAGGGACAATTACGTAATTTTATCGATTTTCTATCTGATTCACTGACGGAAGGGTGGTTTTAATTTGTGAAGTCTTTAAAAGTTCAAAGGGGTTTTGGGTAAAGTAAAAGTACAGGATGATTGTCAGAAGAATATTTGACCCCAACAATTAATAATTAATAGTAAAATTTAATACGCAATTTCCGTTTATTTATGGGAAGGAAGACTGGAAGAGTGTGTGGCTGTCTGTGGTAACACTTGCTTTAGCATTATTTATTCACGCTTTGGTTGGTCTAGCAGACAGTCTGAATTAATTGCCTTCGAAACTAACAAAGTGCCAATTTGGGAGTGGAGGTGGGCTCCACACATAATGCCCAGAAAGTTATATTTGTTGAAAATCTGAAAATTCCATATCTATTCGGAATGGCAATTGAACGACCATAACAACTCTGAACGACCATAACTAATCTGAAAATTCCATACAGTTCAACGGTTCAACCTAAAAAAAAAACAGGAAATTTTCTTAATTTTGTCTTCGCCTCACAGCACAGGCATGTATAAAATTCAAAATTAGAAAATAACTGGCTTTAGTTGTTGTTTTTTTTAATTACACGAATTACTTTGACAACTTATAATGAGAAAATTGGGCTTAAAATATAATAGAAATTAAGAGAGTTTTAATTAAGAATGTCGTAAGGAATACGAGTCGCACAAAACCCAAAAAAAAGGTCAAGATTGGTAGGTCAGTCAGTCCATACCAGTCTAACCGTTAGAGTTGTTAGACTGATCCAATTTTTGAAAATCCAATCCCCAAGCCAAGAGATTAAATTGAATGAAATTGTACTCCCCTTCTCTTTCTGTAAGCCGTTTAATTTATAACTACTTGGATGAATGGAAGACTGACCGTCAATATTTGGCCAACAGCGTATGTTTTGGTTAACAGCTGTTGAATTCATCATATTTACATTATTTTGGTTAATAATCCAACCCCCAAGCCAAACGGTGGAGTCAAGAATTTTTTTTCTTGGGTAAAGGTGTAAAATGGGTCATGCTGTGTCGTCGTGTTGGCATGTAGGCTGCCATGAATCATGTCGTCATTCCTAGTGAAATTTGTGAGGGTCAGCCCGGCATGGCCCAAGCTTAGGTGGGTCCGTGCCGTGCCATACCAACGTGTGGGCCTGGGCTGGGCCGAGTTGTAGGCTATGCCGTGGGCTTGGGTCATGTCGGGCTGGGCCATAGGGCAGGCCTTGAGCCTGGGCCGAACCGAGCTGCATTATTCTTTTTGTTTTTTTTTAATTTTGATTTCTTTTTTAAGTAAAATTGTAAAACTAAAATATTTAACTTTCCTATGAACTTTGGGAATTGTGAATTATTTAAAATATTAGGAAATGAGAAATCTAAGTTATTTAACACATAAATGAAGAAAAAATACTTAACCAAATTGAAATAAGAATGATGGAATAACAAATTGGAAGAAAAATAGGAATTTTATTTCATTTAAATTTGAATGGTACAAATTAATGAATTACAAATACAATGATTGGATCATTGCATACTTGGATGAATAAAATAYAAAAATGGAATAAATTAATAAAATATAAAAAATACAATATGATTACACATTGAAAATACAAAATTACATTGTTAAAAAATTAAAAAAATATATATCAAATAAATTAAATAAAATTTAAAAAATTACAATAATTTGAAAAAATGAAAAATTCTATACAAGTAGTCAAAATTCATGACTTTCATCATTTGCTTCGGGTGAAATGCCCGGTGTTGTATCATGTCCTCCCTTGTCTTGTAATTCATCTTCTGCATCTAGCCAATCCTTGAAGTAGATGCACATCTCTATGCTCTCATCATTCATGCAGTTTCTTTTGTCATCTAGCACCCTGATACCTGCACTAAAACAAGACTCCGATGGAACTATAGACACCGGAGGAGTTAGTAGATCACGTGCCATGGTGGCGAGAACCGGATAATTTTTCGAGTGTTCACTCCACCAGCCTAAATTATCAAAATTATTTGATACTTCATCTAAATTAGAAAAATTTTCTTTTAAATAAAAATTAAGTTCAATAAATGAACTTGTAGAACTAGCAAATTTTTGCCTTCTACTTATTAAATAAAAGAGTTTTTCTCTTCTACTACTGGGCTCAAGGTCAGAAGTAGAAGAAGAAGATGATGAATTTCCTACAACTTCATATTCATACAAACTGTAAATTTCAAATAATAAATTATTAATTTCTTTATTTTATTTCCTTTATCAATATTCATATTTTCACAATATGTTTCAAATAAAATATCTAAACCATCTTTCCTAATCCTAGGGTCTAATATTGTTGCTAAATAATAAAGGGGAGCAATGTTCACCCAATATTTTTTAAATTTATTTTCCATAATTTCGACAATACATTGAAATTGTGGATTATATCTATATTTAGCAAAACAATCACTAATTACCATTAATTGATATGGTAAATTACAACTAGTTGGATAATAAATTCCAAATAATTCATTTGTTACATCATAAAAATGTTTTAAAAAATCTCTTATACAGAATGTCATTTCCCAGTAAACCTGTTCATGGGCCGGGTGGCCCGACAGGCCGGCCCGACCCCTGGACGGGCTTGAACATGCTTATAGGCCTGTGGGCTTAAATTCGGACCAAAAAGCCCGGCCCACAATAAATTCGAGCCGAGCTCGGGTTTTGTCAAAATAGCCCGGCCCGGCCCGGGCCCGGCCCAACCTAATATTAAACTTAAAATTAGTTTTGTGGTTATGTCTATTTGAATAAATTTTTTGAGTTAAGAATGTAAAATTGTGTTTTAAAATATAAAAGAAAGGGAAAAATACAATCTTGTAGGCCCATTGTTCATTTAAATAGAAAAAAAAATACTATCTGGATTTTTAATTCTAATTTGAATAGGGAAATTTGTTTTTTTTTTCAATTAGGTTAGTCTCGGGCTCGGGTTTCGGGCTTTTTAGCAGGGCCGGGCTCGGGCCCAAGTTATAGGCCCGTTGGTCGGGCCAGGCTCGGGATCGGGCCGAGTATATTTTCATTAGTGACAAGTGAAAGCCCGGCCCGAGCCCGGCCCGACCCATGAATAGGTCTATTTCCCAGTCTTCCTCAAATAGCATAGGTAGAATTCCACATATGCTTTACATCTAATATAAAGTGTTTATATTTTAAACCATAATTTTGGCATAAATATTTAAACTCTTGTTTTCTTGCCCTGAACTTTATATATATATATATAAAATACAATTTCTAATTTTTGAAATTTGATTTGAAATAATATTCAAAGCATCTTGAATACATAAATTTAAGATGTGACATGCACATCTCATATGAAATAATTTACCATTTAAGCATGGTTTTAATTGAGATTTTAAAATATTTATTGTAGAATCATTATTGCTAGCATTATCAAAACTAATAGAAAACAATTCAAGCCTAGTAAAACTTAAAATTCTTTTATTCAAAAGCCAATTTTCGTTAATGAAATGGCCGGTAACACAAATATAACTAATATTAAATTTAGATGTCCAAACATCCGAAGTAATTGCAACTTTAGAATTAAGATTTGATAACAAAGAAATTAAATTTTGTTTATATGAATAAAAAAATTTTAAAGCATCAATTCTTATAGTATTCCTAGAAACTTTTTTATATTGTGGGTTTACAGAACTACACAACCATTTTCTAACTTTAGATCTTCAGTTAATATAAATGGTTGTTCTGCATGTACAATATACTTAACAAGTTCTTGTCTCATTTTTTCTTGTGAGTATCTAAAAGTACCAAAACTACTCCCCCTCCCAATTTCTGTTTGGGTTGTTTCTCTCCCTTCATCTTCCTCTCGCTCTCGTGTGAGCAGATGTCTGCTCAAATGACACGTACCACCCTTGCTACAATAACTAAAGTCTTTCCTATATTTTTGGCAAACGACCCTTTTCTCCTTACCATCAGTATCCTCTACTTTGAAATTTTTCCAAATCAGGCTACTCAGCTTAGAAGCCCTCCTTTTTCCCCTAGTATCACTACTACCGGAGGTGAAAGTTCCACTTCCATCGACATCAATCGCATCAGTGCTAACATTATCGTGATGCGATTGAATGTTATCCATGGTGAACATGTTGGGGAATCGGTTTTCAGAAGAGCTGGTCATTTTTTTTTTAATTTTAAAAAGGTAAAAATTAATCTAATTCGACTTATCCAAATTACCAGTTCAAAATCTCAACTTGATTTCAATGATTGAAGCCTTTTAACATCCAAGCCTTCCGAATTGAGATACTTGAGTTGGTTGAGCAAGCCTTCTTCTTGTTGAAAGTCAAAACTTTGATTAAGTTGAGACTTGAGAATTGGAGA